GATTAGACCTTCACTGCATTGGCTTATATGTAGACATTTTGGGAGCGGCAAATGACGCGTGTCGTGGGTAACGAGGAGTATTCGGCCTCGATTAAACGTCACAAGATCTTTTGATTCTCCTCGCATCGGATTGTATTCCATGGAGTCACGATTCGCATTTATTTAAAATCTGGGATTTTATACGTTTTACTGTAAACACCGCAATAGTTTGATATATAGTTTATTATAATATAGTTTATTCTTATTCTGTAACATATTTCTTCATCAAAAGGTCGAAGTGCAAACAAGATCATATATGCATGGACCGTCAATGCTCCTATATTGTCTTTTTAGCGCAAAATTACCTACAAAAAGTTGGGATGTGCACTGTTCAGGTTGCTCAATTGATTGAGCAACACTGTTATGCCGCTGATTTCATATTCAGAAGGAAACTTGGAGTAATTCCATATATAGAAGGAAACTCGTGTAGTTCTTTATTTCAGTTAAATTCCCGAACAACATTCATTAGTTCTTCATGACAATGATACATTCAAGCCTTCAATATAAGCCCAACTTTTTTCCCTACGAGCTACTATTGTTTTTTTATTACTTTTCGATTGCTCCGCCGACAAGCAGAGTTGGTACAAAATCAGCTGTATAAAATAATGATATACCTATTGTAAAATTAATTACAAGCAATTAACAGCAACGTTATTCTAGTACTGCTAGGTTATATGTGAAACACCGTTGCTGCAACGTGTGCAGCATGCAGAGCAGTGTACTATTACATGCACTTGCACGAAACATACATAAGCATATAGGGGCTGTTTCGGACGCCATGCAGCATGTTTTTGCATCCACGTCACGTGGATGCAACGTATGTTTTTTCTTAGCTTAGCAATCTATTCTACATAATGACATGTAAGACATCACAGTGCAGCCCGCAGTCTGCACCATAGTGCACGACAGGGCAGTAGTCTGTACCGCAGTGCACCACACTACAGAGCAGCGCACCACAATGCATCAGAGTGCACCGCAGTGCACCACGGTAACCTGGATGCAATGTCTTCAGCGTTTATTCCATCAAAGACCCTCGCCTCATACCTGGAATTGCGAGCATCGCCGGCATTCCCGACATCGCCGACATTCCTGGCATTTTCTCCCCAGCGTCCCCAGCTCCCCCCACGGCTAAGGGGGACATAACGGGGGATTCTTGGGGAGTCTCAGAGTTTGGGGAATGATGGGGAGGGGGACGATGGCTGTGATAACTCGTGGGGAATGACCGAGGAGAGAGAGGGGGATGGGAGGAGCTAGAGACGATATCGCGGCGGTGACCTGTATAGTGGGTAGAGGGAACGTGAAACGCGTTGTTGTTGTTGTAATAAGCAAAACTTCGTTTAACCCTTTCGTGACTGACGGGACTGTGGTGTCCCGCTCAATATTTTACCACATAACTTGCATACAGCGCAATATTTGAGGCGCAGCTAACTACAGGGACCTGTCTCTTATACACATCTATAAACGATTTCGCATCGTGAGGCCATCGCAGAAAAACCTACTATGATCATCAAGAAATGATCCTGCCTACATTTTCGCTTCCTCCTAATGCCAAACTCTCGAACCACTCCAGGAACGCGGCTTCGCATGCGGCGGATTCTTGAGCGACTGCCACATGTTTCCATCCGCTCATACATGACGCTTTTCTCCGAGCTAACCGCTCGATGTAGATTCATAAAATTNAAGAAGGGAGAAGAAGCAAGACCTGCCGTAGAATGTGAACACTGCAAAGTGCATCTCTGCTGCAACTCCGCAAGAAACTGCTTCAGAGAGTTTCATCAGCGATAAACTTTCTCCATTGATAATAATGACTGATTGCATTTTTGCTTGCTTGTAGTACATCGATAAAGGGACCATAAATTGTAGTGAAGAAACTGCTACTTAAGTAATTGCTATCTATTTCAACTCCAAAGGAATTTGTTTATACGGTACCTGGTTATTATGATAGGTTAATTATTTTCATCTGTTTATTGTGATAGGGTATGTCATTACATGATAGTACACTCGTTTGCCAAAGGAATTTTGTAATATCCAAATACTAACGTATATACACTAGGTTAATATTTTTTTCGCAAAATAATAATTTTTCACAATAAATGTACTGGTGATAACGATGCATTTCTATGATCCCTAACTCCAAATTTGCCTGTAGGGCCAAGCATTGAATGTAAGATACATTTCGACAAATAACAGCTACAGAAAGGTCGCTACAGTGCTGCAGCCCAATGTCGCAATATCTGTCACTACAGTTGCAACCATATACTACCGGGACTCTCTAGTCCCGCTTATAGAATTTTTACAATTAACATATTTTTAATAATTTTTTTACAGAAATGCATTATTTAGTCCTAATTTAATGTGATTCTACAGAAAAAATCAAATAAAAAGTTGTAAAAGACATAGCCGTCACGAAAGGGTTAATAATCAATAAGAAGTGATTAAAACAATTAGTTTCAGTCAAATGGTACGATGCAATCTATGGCTGCATTATTGCCGATGATATCTAATGATGAATGATTAGAATAACCAATACGGTCAAATGGGAAATGACAACGAATACAGTCAAATGGTACGATACCATCACTGCATGTTCTTTGTCGATGACACTCGTATTTAATGCTTTTTTTTAATCTTAATTTCACCGTATTCCTATTACAGAGAGCCTAAATTTTCGAATGCCAAGCTCTTGAATTAGTGAAAGGTACTGAGAAAACGCATGTAATACTGAGAGAAGTGACGCATTGGGTCAACTTGCTGCTCTCTATATACTTGAGAAAGACAATCTGACCTATGACCAACTCTGCATGTTGTTGCAGTGCCACTAGGAAAAAGCGTGAAAAACGGTAATTGGCGTGTGAATGGTCAAACGAGAGATGTGCATGGGAATTAGTACAGAAATATTATAAAGAGACGCTGGGCTCAGAAATATGCTACCTATTGTTATTTACGTTATCAGTTCCTTTATATTCGCCTCGCTGGACAAACTTTTTTAATGTCAGCTGCATCGCACACATAAAAACGCTGCTGCAGCGGTGCCATCTCCCAGGGGGCGGGGGCGGTGATCGGCTGCTAATTTCATCTCATCGAAGCCATAATGAGTTTCACGGCAAACTATTCGGCGTTTATGGAGGCTCATTTTTGCAGCGCCATCTAGCAGCGATTTTACGTACTTTTGCGAGAGCTCCGCGAAATTATCGGCAAATTTTTAATTAAACTGCGATAGAGATTAATGATGAGCCAGTCCAGCCCGCCGCTACCCGTGTAGCTTCTCTGGTAGCAGTGGTGATCGATTTCAGTGGTGATAGATATCAGTGCTAATCGATATCAGTGGTGATCGATTTCAGTGGTGATCGATATCAGAGGTGATCGATATCAGTGGTGATCGATATTACTGCTAATCGATATACAAAGATGATCGAATTCTTTGCTGATATATCTATATGAGGGGGTCAATGGCATTACTGATAGCGATCGGTGGAGGTCGGTATCAGCAGAGATTGACGTTATCAGTGAACGTAATCAGCGATGATTCATGCATACATCCATGTGTCAGAAGATGAAGCAGTGGCTTAATCCACTTCCTCCACGGCTTGCGGGCCACTGAGTAGCTCATTGGTGCTTGCACAGAGTCACTGCACGAGAGATGCTGTGCATTATAGCCTCGACTGAATTAGTTACCTTGGCATAATAATTATATTTTATACTACGGATGAAAAAGATACAAAGGGGATTTAAAAATCGTGCGATGTAAACGAAAATGTCAAGTTATTGCCTTAGAACTACAATGAACATAACCGAAAAGTAACAGAACTTTCACTTGATATTTTTTCTGTCACATAAACCCCTATTGTAGAGAGGTATAAAACCCCCACATAAGCTAGACATAAACCCCGAGGATAGAGAAATATAAAACCCCACATAAACCCCAAGGGTAAAGGCAAGCTGATGCGTTGAAACATAATAACCTACTTTATTTTGATAACAGGAGCAACTTTCTATTCAAATTCTGAATTTTCTTTGGGGTTGTAGAATTCATTTGAGGAATAATTTTGTCATAACCATAATCTGTTTCAGTAGTAATTTTTGCAATCGAAACGGCCTGCTGATTGACTGATTTTAATTATCCGTTAGAAACGAATATGGAACAAAATCTTAAGCGAAATCAGTTTGCAATCTTTCCCCATAAAATTAATTTAAAAACAATAATTTATACAAGGTTCTTGACTTTGAAGCTATTGACTTTGCTATTGAGAGTCGAAAAAAATGTATCTGAGAAAAACATGCTGAAATTTCATGATTTCTCAAAACGTGACGACCGTAAACTACGCAGCGGAAATAAGCACATATTACGTTTGTTCTGACACGAAGCACAGCAATCACAAATACTTTCATTTAGATGAAAAAACTTCCATTGTAAGAGAAAGGCTATACAAAATTGGCATAGTGCGAGGATTATCAGAGACAAAAACTACTCAATGGCGGAAGCATCAAATTAAAATGATGGAAGGGCGTATGACATGGCATGAAATTATTTAATTATAATAGCAAATTCCAAATCAACAATGAATAAATTTGGGATATGAGCGGATAGTTTTACTGCCATGCTATATATATAGGAATGTATGCACAAAAGGAAACTATAGTTTTAAATTTATTTCATAGTTTTTTTTTTTGCCTTCTAGACCTCCTAATTTGTTCACTCTGAGCTTCAATTTATTTACGGTGAAAAGGCATTCGGGGTGATTTTTCGCGAATACTTTTTCGACTGCTAAATTTTGATACTTTGATTCTCCAAGCATTGCCTTCTTGGTTCTTGGAATGCGCAGTGATTACATCCTAGAGAGAAAAAATTTTGTAATCGCACAAGCGTGCATCTCGCGCGGGCAACCACCTTCCCGTGCGCGCATGCGCGTCTTGCACGTCTTGCAGTGTTAGCTCTCGTCTATAAAAGGAAGTGATTGTGGTTCTTTCGGCACTAACGACGCATTCGGAGTCAAAGGAGTAGTCGCTTGCATTGCCCATCGAAAAGGTAAATTTTAAAGTTCCAGGCTGTACCATGTTCTCTCAGTAATGTATGAACTCAAATAATCGGGTTTGAATTGGTAACTAGATTGAGACATTTTTTGAAATACTTTTACCAAATAGGATAAATTTTTGCGATTTGTTTGAACAAAATTCGTGAATTCCTCCACAGAATCTCAACGACCTCCCGAATTCTTCGAAACAGTTCAACATGATAGCGATAACATGGTGCCTTCTTGTGGCCGCATCGTTGTCAATGGTTGATTCCAGAGCGGCTGGAGGCATCGAGGCATATTTTAGACACATCGATGAAAAATCTATCGCCAAAAGTGGTACAGTTCTCGGTAACATGGATGATGAGAACGATTGTGGAGGCTCCTTGCATGCAGCAGAAAGCAGGAGCGACATTGTAACGGCCGAGACTGGGCAACTCAGCAACGAATATATAAGCCTAGAAGACCTAAGTGATTTTCTCGAGGCCAGATTTGCCGAAAATAGGAAAACTATTGAGGAATTTTCGGATAGCGATCAAGGAAACTGGTACATTGTAAATATCGATGATGAAGACCAACATCCTGCTGATAGTTTTGAAGAAAACTTGTTCGCAGCTGGTGAATCCAAAGAGAACAGCAATGCCGATGTGTTCACAAACAAATATCCAGATAACAAGAAATCTTACAAAGCTGAAAATCATCCTACTGATCACAGCAATTATGATTCATCGATTTTTGGGTCTTCAAAAAAATACGATGATTATGTACAATTCAAAATGCATAACCACGAGGACAAACATCCATCCAAAATAAATGAAGATTATAACACGCCAATCTATTACTACAATAAAGCCGATAATCCTGCTGACAACCTCCCAGCAAAAAAACGAACCGCATATTCCAGTAGCATAATATCTAATAATGATCGAGTTAATGCCTTTAATAGGAGGGTATACTCCGAAAACACGGACACCAAACCTTCTGCTACCCAAAACTCTGCTAGGGGGCGAACAGTAGCCCGACAATTCGACGATGATGGCGATTTCCCAGAGTTCGACTACGACGCTAGCTCTGGCAATAGCGATGGCCGTTTTGAAAATAACTATGATGGTGACTACTTCGGTTCAAGTGATGCCGATAATGGTGCAAATGATGCGTACGACTACGACTACAGCAACAGCCAGGGCAGTGGTGATCATTCTTTTGACTTCTCCAATCCGGCTTTCGGATTTTCCCGCCATGGAAGTCTCGTTAATCCCTTAAAAGTCTAGCTAATGTATCATTTAAACGCTTGTCTCCCTTTTGATGCCGTTGCAATGTACGGCACTTCTTTCACATTCTCATACACGTGCAATCAACTCAGGTTCCTACACCTTCTGCTGCACTTGCAACATACTTAAGATTCCAACCCGTTTGGTTCCATTTGCAATCTACTCGCTCTTCTAAACTTCATTCTGCTGCTTAGTCAGTCGTGCTCATTCACTATGTGTGTACCCCAGTCACTGACAAATACTTATTGTTTTAAATTCAATTTCTGCCTCATTTAATTTCCTTAATTTTGACTAACTTTGTTTTCAGGAAGTAGTGTTAAAACTTTGTCAATTTGTGCTTCATGAGTTAAACATATCGAATTTAAAATAGCGATAGTTTTTGTCATGGGGTCAATTTTGCTTTACAGAAAGAGATCATCATATAAGTATTTAATGTACAATATCCTGAACTGTTTTTTATATTTTATTTGGTTATAAATTGTCAATTATTTGAAGAACCCAGGAAATATGTAATCAGAATAGTACAAAGATAATTTCAATTGTCAACATTGGCCTGTGTTCCTTTGCAAAGTCATGCGTTCTAAATTCTATCTTTTCAGTGCGCTCGTTTCACTTTTATTATTTGTTTCTCCTTTGCAAGATTTAAGAGAAAGCTCAGGTACGACTTTCATACAACGTCATCCGAAATGGAAAACTTCCAATGCAATATATTCATAAATACATTACATTTCAAAGTTTAGAGGGGAATTAATTAGCATATGTTTCTTTATATTAATATGCACTACAAATCTCCGTTCTTATAGGGCTTTATAATTCTTTGATTATTCTGTGATTAAGAATCATTTTGACATTTTTGTGTGTGGCAGGATCGTTGATGGTTAATAAATGTTACGTATTATGTGACTTGTGCATTCATGCCCAACATGATATGATAGGTACCCTCTAATATATCGGTACATTCCCTACCAGAGGCGTTCACATAAATCTCTGCTGCCCAAACAAATTCTAAATGCATGTACTAAAAAGTTACTCCAAGAACTGCAAAACTTATGACCATTACCTAGATCTTAAACAATCAACGTGAAACGTATCGGCAATAAGTAAATAAATTTGGGCTTATCCTATTGCCTAATTTAAGGCATTTTAAAACGTAAATTTATAGTACTGATTGTTATCGTTATAATTTTTTCCAAATGCCTCGTAAAAATATCTGCCTGTACATTACGAGTATATACACACATTCTGCTCTGCTATGTATACGATGCTCCACGATACAAAACGAATAATCATGCAATAAAACTCTACCCGCTGGCATTAATCCTCCAGGTATCATTGGATTACACAATCAAGCTTTCACAAATGGTGAGAGAGCACTGGCTACATTATTTCCACTTTCGCTGATCCACGTAAGCCTTGGAGTGAGTCAATCTTCATCGTACAATTTTTTCGATTTTGTTACGCTTATTTCTCTTCTATCTCATGTGGGTCATTCACCATCAAATTGCTGGTAATGCGTTTTTTTTTTGTTTCAAAACAACTTTCGACTCTGCAGCAGACCGAGAAAGTGGTGTTGATCCGTGCGTACATGTTAGTCAGGTCCATATTGCTCTGAATTATGACCCAATAAAGTTATTAAGCAACTCGCTGCGCAAGAGATTTATGATGCGCAATTAAAGTGAAGGAAAAAATACATTGGCGTCTTGAAACGTCAAGCTGAAACCTTTCAGATTCTCTGGCGAGTTGGCTCAAGTTGCAACTTGTGTGAAGTGCTGCTTTCACTTCCGTATTTCCAGTCAATAGTGCATAGAGTCCTGTAGGCCCAACTGCGCTTGCGCCTGTCGTAAGTGGGAACGGCAATAACTTAATACGAGTATGCGGTAATTATTGTATAATTTCTTAATCACAATTGTGCAAAATTTGCTTTTCCGCATAGTTTGCGACAAAATTATTACTGAAGGTCATAAATTCTGTAGCTGCGATATTTAATTGCAATATGTTGACAGCAAAATATCATCAGGAATAGTTCAATTTTCATACTCGAAAACTGCTTTGAGTTCAGTCAGTACTACTCGTTTATGCCACTTTCGATTCCTACCAAAAACGAATCGAGAGTACGAACTTACGAAGACCAAACGAGGTCATCGATTTGTTGATTGCACCATGAAATAAGCGATGCGCAAAACCTCATTGTTTGCTGTATTCAACTGTAAACTATTCCTTCTGCTTCAATGACAACAAAATTTAAAAGTATACAAAGTTTGCCTAAAAAACAGTAAAAATCTACTCATGTTAGGGGGTTGAGTTGGTGCTTCGAACGATTATTGAACGAGCTTCGAACTTCAGTTAGACTGAACCAAACGACATTTCCCCGGACGCGAACTTCATGGCAGCGGACTCACGTACGCTGTCGGTTCACTTGACCGTCTCACGCTGTATCGAGCGCTACCGTCAGCACTCTGCAGTCTGCATTACTGTAGAGGCTGTACTCTGTAGTTTTCATAATATTAATTCGTACATAAAGTTATATCAAATTCACACTTTGGGTAATAAACAGTAATTTGTTTGTAGGGGCATGAAATCGGCAAGACTATAGAATCCTTCATCATTATCAGGAAAAGTGATACCTAACTATATTTGAAAAACATTAATCTGGTCACAAAATTACTGTCTTATTTTCAAGAAAATTTTACTTAGAATCCATATGTTAATAATTAGTGAACTTTAGGCTTTTCCGTAACCAGAAAAAAATACTGCTCAGTGCTCTCGTCAATGAAAAAGCGCGCGGCGCGCCATTCAAACGCTTGAAATGTGCGTTTCAGCTTTCAGCGTTTGCATCAGTATCACACTGGACACTGGTCATAATCTTTACGGCATTTATTTCTACTTTATTGTTAAGTAATTGTTATTAGTATTACAAGAGAATCCTGTTCCTTTCACCAAGAGCACGTTTTGCTGATTCCGGCCAAGAAAATTTCTCAATTGCCAGTGGCCCAGAGTCCAGAGTGCTCCAGACTAGGCCTAGTGAGTAGTGACTACCGAATCATACTTAATTTTTTATTATAGCTACTAGTAATAACTAATGATAGTACCTAGATAGCTTCAGCTTGTGTGAGGGCAAAAGCACCTAGGTTGTTAGCCTAGAGCATGTTTTTGATTGAGTTTTGAATAAATGCTAATCTGAGGAAATTAAGGTAGCTATTCTAAAATGCTCTTGAATCTTTATCTCCTTATCAGGCTTATGTCCTGTGAAAATTATCTTATATTTCTATGAAATTTCAGCAATCAAATAAATTATTACCAGGGTCCTTGTTTGCCCCTGCCCTCTAGTGAGGCTCTAGCCTAAGGCCAAGAGTAAGGCTGGCCATCTGATGATTCTGATCTCTATCATGTTCCTGAACTTCCTGTTAGCTGTAGATGTACCTAGTCAGCTAGCCTAGTCTGATCAGATTAGGCTACTAGTCATAAATCACAATCAACAGCAACTTCAAGGCAACTGATTAGTGAGGACTAATCAAGCAGTACAATTCTAAAGTCAACAAAATGTGTTCAATTGTGTTGATATATTGCTTCTGTCCAAATCTGGAAAATCTGGCAGAAGGCCAAAAGCTGGGTACATATGAAATATGAATCATGATTCATGAAAGAGAAAAAATGACAAATATGCACAGGCTTGCAAGTTACTTACAGTAGATTTTACTAATTCTTATGGCCTTTGCATGCCTAATTTTAAGTAAAATAAAAATATCTTATATATGTTTTAGATTTAGATTATTAAAAATTGCCTGATTGCCTTTAGGTGTAAAATGATGGCTTTTAGCCATGGTTTTACTTTTAGAGAACTCAGTTCAATATTCCAGATTTGTTCATGTCTTGAATAGGTAATGAACATGATACTAATCTGGTATGTGCCTATGTGGGATAAAATTTTCCAGAAAGCATATGAAAAAATATAACTCAGTAGGTACTCACTGCAGTGAGTGACACTGTGATAGCATATTTTCTCAAAATCAACAAAAATGTGAAGTCATGGACACACGGAAAGACATAACAAGCCAAGCAGTGAGCACAATAGGTATTTTTTTCCATAAACAAGAAAATGAGCTAAAAATAGGTACATGAATGATTTTCAAACATCTGACAAAATTATGACATTATTTTATATTTCTATTAATGAAACTTGGCAAGGTGACATTAGCACTTAATACTCAAATCAAGCTTAGTATTGTTAGAACATTTCAAGAATCATAATCAACCTTCAACCCTATTTAATAATTTCAAACTTATTGTCAAGATGTTGAGCCTCTACTTCATGCCATCACCCATAAACAGTTTGCAACTAATATTACTTCTAAGAACATTGCCAGCAGGTAATACAAATAGATTTTTAAAATTTTACTATTATAACTTTCAATGTTTAGTAATTGTATTTGGTGATTATTATGACTACTGAGTTATGGGGAATAAAGAATTCAGAACTAAACAGTAGAAAATAGGATTTATACTCTTCAAGATGAAATTAGAATCATTTTTACTAAAAGGTCATGGCTCAAAAGTTGAAGATTTTTATTGAATTTTGAAGTTTTGCATCATAATAATATAATTTCTAATAACTTGATTGACCAAAACTTACTTTACATCAATAACACATTTGTTTGCCAGCCTTCAATTGAATTGATCGATTTTATAAACCAAGCAAAACCTGAATATACTGTGTTTTTTTTTCAGAATTTAGTGATTTAGAGGGCAACAGCAAATTTTTTGTTCAGTTGAACAGCAAATAAAAAGCATTCATGCTTTTATTAGGTCACCACAGAAAATTATGGCATTCCTTTTTATACATCAATAATAGTTTTAATCTTTTCTTCACCTCTATCAATGCATTGCATTCAACTTGCCACAGATCTTTGTGTGGTAAAGTTTTAAAAATTTCCAACAAAAGCCAAGTTTATGGGATCTCAAAAAAATATTTGAACACACATTTTACCACTACATGTTTACAGATTTTCTTACAATCAAGCTTCAGTATAATTCAGCAATCCTTGACAAGCAGTAACTCACTGCTGAAGAGGAAGTTACTTCTTTGCCATTCCAAGCCTCAATTGTCAACGTCAACAATGTCACCTTCTGAATCCCCTAGCAAGCGCTGTTTACTCTCTGCAAAGAGCAACTTGAGACAGAAAAATGCACAGAACTCTCATCCCATAACAATCTGTGTTGAAGGCAACATTGGCAGCGGGAAGACTACACTACTTAATCAGCTCTCTGCACGTCCAGATGTTGAAGTTTTGCAGGAGCCTGTAGAAAAGTGGAGAAATGTCAAAGGCAAGAATTTGTTGGTGAGTTCTTAATTTTTATCAGTATTTCTTTTTCAAGTATGTACTCATAATATTTATATGGTAGCAAATTACAGACATCCATCAATTTTTTTACTCGAAGATATAGTGAATAAAAACATGTTATTCTTTCAGGACCTGATGTACCTGGACCCATTGCGGTGGTCTCACCTCTTCCAGAGCTATGTGCAGCTCACTATGGTCCAGATGCATATGAAGCCTTGCCATGCCAAAGTGAAAATTATGGAGCGATCCATCCACAGTGCTCGGTATGTCTCAGTAATACAGCTCCATGCTTGATTTATCTGCATAGATTCTCACTGGTGTGGTCTCCCAGTATATTCATATGTAATGAAAGCATCTCGAGTACATCACCAAACATTCAAAGATTATGAATATATACTAATTGGCATATTGATTACAAAATGACTTTTACTAATTCTGCAAGTAGAGAAATAGTGATCATGCATAAACTTGTATTTCATCTGAAAAATGGATGATATCTTCTAAAAACCATGTAGATTTGTACATCTAATGATCTAATCCATTTTTTTTGATCCATTATGCCAGATGCCAGGAATGATGCCAATTGAAGCATGTATCTGCAAAACTGAAATAATTCAATAGAGAATATAGAAATTGTTCAGTTTTCTGATGTCTTGAGTTGAAGAATTGCTTAATGACCTTGTATTCTGCAGGTACTGTTTTGTGGAGAACATGTTCCGGACAGGTCGTATGTCAGAGCCTGAGTATAATGTTATTTGTGAGTGGTACAACACAATCAACTGTAACCTCTTCTTACCAGTGGATCTCATAGGTAAGTTATATGTCCAAAACTTGAATTTTGATGACTGAGTTTAGTATTTTTTTAAAGATTTTACTGTATCCTTTCTTCTAAAAGGTTTTCTTAAATGTCTAATTTTGCTGCTAGTTCTATCACGCCTAGCAGAATGCTCGGGAAAATAGGATTGGGCAAATTTGAAATTTATGTTTTCATTGCGGAATTCTTGTTCCAAAATCATATAGCTTGAAAAAATTAGGTCCCATGAAGTTACACATCATTGATGTACCTTCAATTTAACTTGTCATGAATGTTAATTAGTATTGTGATCAAAACCTGGGACTGTAGCCTCAACACCCGCTAACTTACATGAACTGGCTGATTTCTTGTCCTTGATTGCTGAGTTTAACTTGCAAAGCCACTGATGATTAGCTGATGGAGTTACAACACGGCTAAATATTTTTGATATTCTCTGTTCTCTTCATTTTACCTCTAGATCAATTCAAATACAGCTTGTAAGCGCGCCTGCAAAAATATCTTGTTATTAAATAAACCTTAACATTTTTTTGTTGTTTATTTTTGTATTATCAGGAGTTTTTCTCTCTGCAGTTTACCTATCGGCCAGCCCTACATTAGCACAGGAACGCATCATCAAGCGTGGCCGGGCTGAGGAAGCCAACATTCCCATTTCTTATTTATCAGAGCTGCACGCTCTTCACTGCTACTGGCTGCAGAATGAAGACCTGCCAGCCCCAGTCTTGGTTCTGGATGCCGAACTAACACTGGAACAAATGTAAGCTTCCAGTCATCCTTAAAATCTTGTAATCTGACTTTTTGGAATTTTTTTAGGAAATTTTACAGCTTTGGTGTGTTTTGGGCTCTCTTTAAATCGGTATGTAGTAGAGAAATTAAAAACTATTGAAGGTTTTTTGAAACATTTCTGACTATTGTTTACAACTTTTGATTCGAAGTTTTTTCTTTGCAAAATGGACTCTTCTCACACTGATGCCAGAGTAAGGCTGCAGTTTGAGTAAATTGTCCTATAGAAAATTGATCGGCCGAGGGACGAAGGATTTAGCTCACCTTCTGTTTGCGATGCCTTTCAAATAATGTAGTTTACATTTGTATTCTTTGAATTTATCGGTAAATGATATATTTTTTTTTTGCCCAATAACATGCCTATAAAAGATTACTTATTGAAATTTATTTCTGTTATTTTCTGATGTAAAAAGTGCAAACACTAAGGAATTTTGTTTCGTGTATAGGACTGCTAGAGTGGAAGAGCATTTGGAGGTGCTACTTCAACAGCGTGCTGAGGCTGAGAAAAGCTTTGAGTTCTCTCGCTCGCCTGCAAAGAAATTGTCTTCCCCTTCTGCATCTCCTGCTAAGTTGACGGTTTCCTTGCGGCCAGCGTCAGCCTCCAATTAAGCTAGCTGCTGCTATTTTATGTCGGCAGTTTTGTACTGATTGAAAAAAAAAACTTATTTTATGTTCTTTTACTATAGGTTAATTCGACAGTTATCACTAAACTCGTTTGCAAATAAGTTTCATCTCTTTAACATTGTCACACTCAACAAAAAACCACTCGTCCATCTGACATGCACTCTTTCTGTAAGCAAGGGCATGTATTTTTCATAAAGGCCTTCATTTCTTTCAAACTGAAGTTCTGGAGATCAGCTGACAATACCTTAACTGCATATTGCGCTCAGGATTGCAGTGTAGTATTTATTTATTTTGGTCATTACATTAAAATGTTTGGATTCCTTTCTGTTATGAAATCGACTCGGTGAATATGAAGTTTACAAAACTTTCCGTGATGTGGAGGTTCAAACATCTACCTGCACCCTCCAATAATATTTAATTAGCTTTCATTTTATTTTCAGATAAGATGCGTTTTATATGCTGATTGCGGTTTAAGTTATGAATGTCCAATTCTGGATTGAATGGTGAATTTCAAAATTTTAACTCGTTTAAAATCTTGATCGGTTTTTCAAGTAGAAATCGTATTCGAATCTGCTCATTCCGGCTGTTTAATGCGGTCTTTTGAATATGTTTGATTTTATTACAATTTATTCGATCACAAATTTTATTTAAAACAGGGTACTTCTAAAACAAGTTCTTGGCTAATTAATATAAATTGGCAAGAGAACATGATTTGCAAGTTCTGAACTCGCTATTTACTGTAAAACTCATCTCAATTAAATTTCTCCTAAATCGTGCATTAAATATCTGTTTTGGTTGTGATCATTCGTACGTTGCGGTATTCTAAGTTTCATATATCACAAGGCCCTGCTAGTGCCCGATGCAAGAATGTCACACAATCTAATTGTGGTTTTTTACTAAAGATATTTTTTAATTATTGGTGTAAAATTAGAAATGCGATTTGTATCATGTTGTAAGCATTTCCTCTGTCCTTGCATATCTGATGTGCATGCAGCCTTACATAATAAATGTTTAGCAGTATTTCTATTGATACTTTTTCACATTGCATACCAATTTGCATTGAAGGTGTTTACTCGCATTCAATGTAATTTATTTTACAGTTTTATAATTTGATGAATTTAACTGTCGAGTTTTAAAATTTGCAGTTGATCATGCCAGCATTGATGTGCACGGCTAATGAAAAATTTGGCGTCAAGGGGATTTGTATTATTATGCCTTCTTCTTCTAGAAGTTCTGAAGTAGTTCGTTTTATACTAAATCAGCACTGTTCGAAAACTATTTGTAATGGTTTCTCACGATATGTTATTAAATTATCGGTATATTATTTTAGCGGCGTTGATGATGTGGACGAGTCCAACGTTTTGCCGATTCTTGGAATAGGTTTTAAGAAGCTTGCAAGCTTAATTTTTTTCCTTAAATATCTGAACCTGTCTAATGCAATTCGGCTAATTTAATAAATTGAAATAAACAACCGCGTTAACTTGCGTAATTAGATATTTTTAAAAATGAAAATTAAACATTTCTTCGACATGTTTGTAGAATGTAGACAAAGAAAAAACTTTCAATTGTTGGAGGATACATCATATCCACAATTGTAAAGAAAGAGTTATTTTTTTCTTCTATACGCGTCACCGCTAAGTAAAACATCTATTCCTCATTACATGAAGTCTGACTGCCTTTTTACACTATATGATCTGCTTCATAGCAATAAGCATCGTTTGATTCCATAAGCGGACATTAATAATTATAATTTCATTGTGCGAAATCTTGCAATCCATGCTTTAAATTTTGTATTGATGTTTATTAAGACTATATAGTTAAATCTTCTGTGGGATTGGAAAGGTATTGCTGATCAGTTAATGGCGCGACCTGTCACCTGATTTCAAGGTCATTACGGTCATGACTATCGACGACTGAAAATTTCTAGGAGGAAATTGCTGCACGTCATGAAACAGAATTTTAAAATATTTTATCATTGTTGTTTTAATTTTTAAAGCAAGATGTTTAAAATATCTTTGACGACATTAAAAACTTCCTGTAATTGTAGCAGACGACCTTCAGTTTTGACCGGCTGCGAGTTCAATACCAGGTTGCTAACAATACTCTTCTGCACTCGTCAACATTTTCGTGCGTTGTCAGGTCACACTGGTAGCAACAGGCGGCACTACACTGCTCTCACGATGGCAAAGTATCAAATTGTTATGGTTCGCCATGGTGAAAGTGAATGGAATAAACTTAACAAGTTCTGCGGATCAGTTTTGACCGGCTGCGAGTTCAATACCAGGTTGCTAACAATACTCTTCTGCACTCGTCAACATTTTCGTGCGTTGTCAGGTCACACTGGTAGTAACAGGCGGCACTACACTGCTCTCACGATGGCAAAGTATCAAATTGTTATGGTTCGCCATGGTGAAAGTGAATGGAATAAACTTAACAAGTTCTGCGGTTGGTATGATGCTGATTTATCAGAACAAGGTGAGTAAAATGTCTCGGGAGTGATGAGCTGATAAGACTGATATAAGCAGCGCTGTTGAAAATGTCGTGCATAAATAATGCAATTGTTATTTTGAAATATACATTTGCTTACTTTGCTACAATAATTTTAATATAACCAGTTGTTCTACATAGTAGTATCGAGTCCATTTATAAGCTATCTAGCACTGGCATGCTGGTTAAAGGAGTTCATATTCTGCTGAGCCATCAATAATACCCTGGTATATTCTGGTAAATCTTGTGCTATAGCCTATAGGTCAATCCAATAGTAATTAGTACAAATGAAAAGTACAATACCAATAGTAATGTTAGTCATTACTAGTCGTGCAATCAATAGCATTGCTATTGATTGCAGATTCCTGTAACTATTACGCTTGATGAAATTTTATTACCTATTTAAAATAGCCCAATTCTAATGAGCAAATAGCCCTACCTACTAGGAATAGTTCAGACTGTTCAGTAAATTAATATTGTCAATGTCAGTCCAGCTCCAGAGCCTCCAGTACCTAATTCATTTCCTTGATACTAGTTTTTCCATGTACTAGATTGGAATTTTTGCTCGTTAAAATTTGAGGCTCTTAACTTGATTGATATGGTAAACGCGGTGTCACGGTATACCTATTCCATCACATTAAGGACGCATCGAGAAATGAAAAACTATTAAAAAATAACCGTATGCATTAGGGTAAACGCGGTATATTCCAACATCGTAGGTAATTCCATCACTTCTCTAGTTTTTCCTTTATATTAAGCTTTGTTTTAGTTCCATGCGTTCATTGATGGTTGAAATGGTGACGTCATACATTTGCGTGTCGAAATACTGCAAAAACACTAGGTCTTGGC